TAGAAGTAGACAAGGTACCAGTGAAAGAGGGTAATCCTGGAGGCCATGGGTCGCTTGAGTATGAGGGGAAATGGGGATGGATACATGGAGAATGTGGTTAAAGGTTCAATCTCCCATAGGGACACTCGGGGTGCCTCTCCCCAGTGGTAGACTCATCCCAGCCAACCTGCATTATCAAGTCAAAAGTTAATTAGAACATCCCTTATATGTTCCCATATGCTTTATGTATTTTTTTTTTTTCCCGTGGGAGGGGGGGAAGTCATATGCTTTATGTATTGCAGGAACCACTTTGTCAATAAAGTTCTATGCACTTGTTTCACAAGTAAAATGTGTGGTCCACAATCAACAAAAAAAAAGCTATAGATAAGCAAAGGGCTGTTAGTGTACACAGCCTACCTTCACTGAGCGCCAATGTGAGTTTGGCCAACGAACAGGATCCCAGTCACTTATGCCAGTTTATCGTTCCCATGTAGCTGAAATGAAAATAAGTGTCAGATGTCTAATCTGAATACCCTACAAATTCCAACTTCACAGGAAGAAATTCAAGATAGCCAAAAAAAGGTAACAAAATAGGCCAGCTTGGCTTGAAACTTATCAAGGTCCTTGATAAAATCACGATACGTACAACACAAGTAGCATTCAAGTCTACTAAATTCAGTAAAAAATTTATCTAATGGAATTTCATTAAGTTAAACAGGACCAGGTGACATCCATTCAACATTTCAGTGTTTCTCATCCTAGTTCACACAAGAAATCCATGTGATTCAGAAGAAGTCTTTGAGATAAATATCGCAGTCTGCCAACAGAAACTCAGCAGGTTACATCAATCCTCAAAATTTTAGTGTTGGATTATTGATTTCCTGATAACTTACAAATAAATAACCACCAAAGAGGCAAAGATTTGTCCAGCATACATTCCAATTACTTTGAAACAATTGCTAACCAAAGACTAAAGATATGGACGGAGGCTAATGCAATAACCAAGTAAACATTTGCCTCTAGAAGAAGTCGCAGAGAGAAGTATTGAAAGTCTACTTTTTCAATCCTGAAGCTCAACAATATATGAGCAGAAACCCCAAAAAGCATAAAAGTAAGATGATATTCTTCCATAAGACAAATAAAACCTACCGACGGACACTTGATTCTTCCGTTTCAAACAGCATCCGAAAGCGCATACCAACCGAAAAAGTGTATGATAGACCGCTTTAACATACTTGGTCAGAGGTATAACAAATTCTGATGGACTAGCCCTGAAGTCAACAAGCTAACATAAATTAACAGGGAAGACTTCCAAAATACTATGTCCACCATGCAAAGAGAAATACCTAGGATTGTAAAATATGGTGAAACGGCTGTTAGTTGCAGCTGCATGTGCTGCAGCAGCAAGAAGTCCCAAATGCATGCTGTCACTTGATAAAACTGAAGAAGGCATCACTGTCTGTGGACGATTGGCACGCCGAATACCAAGAAACAATTGGTTGTTCTCATTCCTATGAAAGGAAATAGAAGTCAAATGCAATTTGACTGAATATTTAAAGTTATTGCATATTGTAGAACAGCATATAGCATTTTAAGAGGTGAGAGAGAAGAAAGTTGCACCTAACAGACACACCAAAGAATTATTTATCTCGAGCACTACAAGTGACAGTTCGAAAAGGATACTCTGGCTCATATTTTTTTCTTCTTTTCCTCTGAACATTAGTCAACCTGAATGTGAGCTACATATAGAATTGGTTTTTCAAACTCTGCCATACGGCCCATACCTTTATTGACTGTCCAAGCTTATGATCAGTTGTATACATTGCTTAAATGACCTCAGATAAATAGAGGTGTTAGTATTTACATTTATAAGAGACAACACTCAGAACATGCATCTTTTCTTCCACAACACCAGGAAAAGACGCAGAGAGAAAGTTAATACATTAAAACATTAGACTGCCTACCATATGAAAAGGACTGCATCACCAGCAACAAGTCTTTTTGCACTAACAAACACACTCCATCCAGTTGTAAGGAGATGCCTCTTTGGCTGCCCTGCAGTAAGAATAAAAGGCAACAATTGCTAAGAATCGTACAGCAGGTTTCCAAACCTTGCCAATTTTGATTTGACATTGCAATATTCCAAGACAATCAATGACAACAAAATTGTACCTTGAAAAATAACGTGCAAAACATCACTGGAGATGATTAAGGTGGATTCAGTCTTATTGTAAACTAGCATTAGTATTCAAAGAAGCTATTGATACAGTAAATTTGATGTCCTGATGAATGATTTAATCATGTACACATGAAGATTAGAACGGCAAAGTTCAATTTGGTGGACTTCAGATTGCACTGAATGATAAATGATGCCCCAACTCCTTCCTCAAGAAAAAAGATGATGCATGAGGTCCAACTTGTTAGCCAGTGAAATCTATTCTAAATAATGGTTAGGCCGAAAATATATCATTTCAAGTGGGCATGCACCTTCATTGCAATTCCCATCCCCTTCCCCCAAATTCCCTCAGCTAAGTCAATTCATCCCAATCAAAGCAACAGATTTAAAATCCATCATGGTAGCAATTCACTTTTGCTGTTCAAACTTGAAAATCCACCATCTCGAGGTAAATGAGGTCACAAGGATAAAGTCAAGGTGTCCATTCACAACACAAAGAAAAAACTAAAAAACTAGGTGATTTTGAAAATGAGGCCAGACACAAAAAGGTGATATTAGAAGAAATAGAATGAGAAAATTCACAATCCATCAATAATAACTAGCATAATTATACAAATCTCAATTTGGGGGGAAGACGAATAATAACAAGCTTGTTAGGTGTTAGGAAACTCACCACGAAATATGTGTCTGAATTTCCATTCATTATCATGTAAGTCCCTTGCGATTAACTCCTGGGCTGGAGGTTGCTGGGAGAAGTCCTGCAGGTGAAAAGTATAATTTTGAAAATAAGAAATATTTTAGCAAATTGATATCTCAAAACTGGATAGTTTAACTCCATAGCTGCAAATAAAGTTTACCAGTGGAGGAAACACTTTTTCAGCTGAACGGCGAGGAACAGAAAATCCCCCATGAGTACTTGTGTCACTTGCTGTCAATGTTTTACAGAAGTAATTTGTCGGCTGTTTGCTGGGGACACCCAAATCAGCTGGAAGGAAGGCCTCCTTTTGCTCTTGCTACAGGAAATGTGAAACAGGAGAAAAATTAATATTAAGAAGAGAGAAGACACGGCAATCATAAGCTAACCAAACAATGGTAACATACTGGGCTCAGTGGTTGCAAGGTCATCTGAGCATAGACCTCATCTGTCTCCACATCAGCCTGAAGTAAAGAAATTTTGAGTCTCTAGAAGCAACCTGTAAATATATTCAGAAACAGGAACACTAGAAAAGGCCACTTACGTGCATGGTCACATTGTGAAGCTGACAGATAAGTTGTGGAGGTAAGCTTGGATAATTAGGGATATGAGCATCCACTTCCTTGTTGGTTGATGCAGCAACCTACATGGAATGCATTAAACAAAGTTGAAGCCAACACTACATAAGAATTTTATCTTAACATGATCGTATTATTCTCCACAATGCCCAATTTTTTCAATGGATTACAATGGGAAGTCAGGTTGGCAAAGGCAAACAGACACCAAGCACATATTCTTTGGAAACAGCTTGAGATGTCAATTGCCATGCACACTTATTACTACTAGAGAGAGGAAAAAAAACCATCTAAGAAGACAAAACATAAAAAGCAAAGCAAAAATAAAAGCTAAAAAGGTGGGGTCAGAAAGAGCTTCCAGCTACTTACAGAAGGGACATCACTATCAACTTGAACTGACTAACTACCATTACAGTAAATGTGTCACTAATATGAATCGTGACTAGAAAAGCATTTAAATAACTACATGCAGAAACACGGGCATCAATAGGTGCAGTATCATCTAGTTTAGCTAAATACTGGACCTTTAGCTCAGAAATTAACCAAACAAATGCACGATATAAGAATGTAAGGAGTGGCTATTACCCAAAAAAACCTTTTCAAGCTTCCACAGAATTCATGCTTAATGTTCACTGAATTTTACATAGATCAAGATTATTGCTGGACCTTTGGACTGGGTAAGTTTAAGTTAAGGCAATACTATATATCGAGCATAAAAAATATACACAAACACGAAACAAACTTTCCTGTTCCCAGAACATAAGAAACAAATATGATCTTGCAAAGGAAACATAAGCAAAAGACTGACTGGTTTGATGAGATTAAATTGCTAAAACTAGTAGGTACGTATGCTTTCTGCTCCACATAACAGACCTGCTCGCTGTGACCCTGAGGGAAGTATACGACACGGCTTCCCACAGCAGGCAAAGATATAAGAGGACCCGCACATGCATGCCAAAGTTCAGAATTCAGACATCTATTCTCCCCTGCAAATAAAAATTCATAGGACCATAAATTTCAAGAAGAATTGTTGAGGTTGTAAGAAAAACCCCTTTACAAGAATGTTATATAAGGGTGGTCACATGGGTTCCCAGGAGTCTTTTTCTATAACGAGAGAAATTTCCAAATGAATATATCTGATCATACAGAAAACATCATGTGCTTGTAACTGAATGAAATGGAAATTCAAATTCCCAAAAATGAATAGATGAAAAAATGAAAATCAGCAGAAAAAGACTGTTGGAGTGACAGATAACAGAATCAAAAAGTAAAATCAGCCCCAAAAAAACTCAGCCTGCCCTGAAAACTAATAGCCTATTTGCAGCAGTATTGAGAGATAAAAATACCTATTAACCACAAAAATAGGAACAGTGCGGAAAAATAGCAAAACAAGTGAAACTAATGGCAACCCAAGCACGAGAATCATGACATGAAGTCCCTCATGGTTTGCCCAAGAAGCCAAACAAGGCTTCCTACCTTAGTTAGAGGAAGATATGCAGAAGTTTAAACCCAGGAAAGAAGCAACCCAACCAACATTGCCAAATAACAAACAAAAATATACCTTCAGGTGACTGCTGATTAAAACCAGCAGACGAGAGCCTCATTCCAGCAGATCGGACAGTATCACGTAACACCAAATCCAGAGCCACAAAAGCAAACCAAATAAAATCACCAACCCCAACTCTTCAGTACAGAATTGCCCAAAACCAAACACCCACAAAGCTGAAACAAGTCTTCTAACTCCTTTCCACCCAAAAACACAATACTAACCTTATTTTACCCTTTCAAAACCCATCCAACGCTGCATATTGGGCAGACTAATGAAACTGTTGATGCCACCACCAACTCACCAAATTGCTGGCTATAAAACCCGCATGTGAAGGAAATGATCCAAACAGCTTTAACACACTTCAAAAATCTTCAACCGAAGCCGGTTCCACTACAAAACACGAAATGTTTAAGCTTCATCAGCACTTGAAGTCCTCCACCCAACCCCAAACACCCGAATTTGCAATTAGGAACTTCATGGGCCCAATCTTTAACAAATCAACCACCACATTTCAGCTCAAACTCCCACAAGTTTCCCAATTTTCTTGGCTTAACCCCACTAAACCTCCCAATTTTCAGTTATATTAAGCTCTTGAGTTCAAAATCCCCTAGATAAACTACTCATCTAAGCAAAAAAAAAGTACACAACCCAGCAGACCCAAAAAGTGAATAACCCCGCAGACCACTTCAGATCTTAGCGAGAACCACAAGCAAAACCCAATTATGAGCTCCAAATCACAAAAATATTGCTTCAATACAAACCCTAAAGAAACCCGAACTCCTACCTCCACAAAAATCACAGATTCGGCTCACAAATCAAGCATATCAATAGCCCTTCCTAGTTAAACCACACACCACATACGATATAAACATTTCTGTCTCTGTGTGTGGGTAGGTTTATGCATATGAATGTATACCTATATGCATAAGTGTGCTGAGGATTAGGAGAGCTGAAGATGAAACCCACTAGGGTTTTTTCCTTTGGTTTCTAGTAATAGGAATGGAAAAGCATACTACTGCCGACGAATGTTTAGAGTGTGATAACACTGTGTAGCTCTGCTTCTCTGCAGCCTTTGCTTGTGTTTGTGTTTGAGCTTTCTACTACTTTCTCTCTCTGTATCTATCACTTTCTCCCACTATATCTATATATCTATCGTTTTCTCTCTCATCACACCTCCAATCAATCAACACAACCGCCATTATTTTCCGGATGTCGTTTTATAGCATTGAGGAGAGAGAAAGCCAGTGATAGATTTTTTACGCTGAATTTAGGGAGAGGTGCAACTTCTAGGCGATATTTAACCCATAATAATTGTTATTTATTTTTTCTATTTTTAAAAAATTTTATTCTTAATTTCTTTATAATGAATTTGTTTTCTTTTTCTTTTTTTTTTTAATATTACCATTAAAAGATATTGACTTAACTTACGTATACCTCGATTAATTTTTTTTTTTGTTTAATTAAAGACAAGTTATACACATCAAAATTAAAAAATTCTTGAATAATAAATCTCTTATACTTAGACAAATTATTAGATAATAATTATTATTTTAAGGCATAAAAATGAGATTCTAAGAAGTTAGATATTGTATTTAAGAGATAAAATAAAAATATTAAATATATTATAATTTTTATACTATGTAGGATTCATTTGCATATAAACTCTTATATATCTATACGGTGAATACTTTGATAATTAAAGGTATAATTTATGTAGTTTTAATATAAGATACAAAAATTATATTCTCATAAATAAAATTAAATATAAATAAAAATATAATTTTTGAGTTCATGGAGGGTAAAATTTGAGCAAAAGAAACTATTAATGGATCTTAGAATTTCTTAGAAATAAATTATTAAAAGTAAGACTTTTCAAAGTTGAATATGAACTATAGAGTAAAAGTAGGATTTATTGATAATTTTTTCTTTTTTCTTTTTTTGCCCATTTTTATCATATCACTTATTTTTATTACAAGTAAAATTATTTAATTTTTTATTAATTCATTGTTTAATATAATTTTTATTTCAAATATTGCTCTTCAACAATAGTCTACACATATTAATAATTTTTTAGGTAATGTATTTTTTTTAAAAAGTTATTAATTTTTTTAAATAATGGACAAAAATTAATATTGCATTATGTAATTACAAAAGAAAAAAGAAAAAAATATCATAAAATACAATGATATTAATTTTTTAAATGCTCGAATTTTATATTACATCGTATCTTCAAACATGAGATATTAGTAGTGGTTCTCCGATTTAAACTAGTTATTTGTTAGAACTATTGTTGTTCATTATTACCCCCAGGAAACACTTAAGAATGGACATCAATCCAAAAGTACAAAAAGGTCCACCATACTATTCATATGAAACTATTGGGGTGAAAATGTGAAAGAAAAAAACATTCTAGTATTTAGTACAATTAATGTACAATGCCGAAATGGAATTCAAGAGTTGCATGAAAGAAGAGTTAAGTGGGCCCCACTGGCAGCTATGAGAGTGTGACAATAAGCGGCAACAATAGCTAATACGTGAAGTTGGTTTTATGAAATGGGCCATTTGCCAGCCCTACAAATTCAACAATGATTTCTTAGAATTTATGTATATTACTTTGACAAGGGAGTCAACTTGATGCAACTCATGAACTCGGGTTGATCGAGCGGATTGAGGATCAATTGAGATTCAACTTAAGTCGGTTTAGAATTTAGTTTGAATTTAAATTTGATTGAAAAGTTTTATGTTCACCAAAATTTTTACGAAATTTTGGATTTCAAGTGATGTGGTACAATAATAATCATTAGATACAAAATTAAAATTTGTGAGACCTATTAGTCTTGTAATTCATATTGATTTGAGATTCAAATCTAGGTAAAAATTTTGACGAATATGATTTTAGTATTGAGCTCAAGTACTATTCATGTTTGATTTAAAGTACCTAAGATTTCAAGTTAGACTCAAATTGAATTTGAGTTAACCCGTTGAAATTGAAATCCTAATGTTGAAAAAAAAAAAAAATGGAGTGGGTTATCCATTACTTTACCATGGAGAGATAGGAGTCCAAATTCGCCATTAATTTTTATGTGCACGTCACATGATATATAAATTATAGGGTAATTTAGAAGTCGGTATAAAAATTTAGACTTATTTGAGTTAAACTACGTTAAGAAAACTTATTTGATCCTAAGTGTATTTTTTTAAAAAGACTAAAAGGGTATTTATTACTTAATTACTCTCTGTCCTTCTCTCTCTACATTACTCTTTTACTCTTTTTTCTCTATTTTCTCTCTATCTATTTCTCTCTCTCTCTCTTTCTCTCTCTCTCTCATATTGTTAATTTTTTTTTAAATATATAAAAATTTAATTTAATTTTTTCATCTCTCTCCCCCTATTTTTTCTCTCTCTCACTCTCTATCCCCTTATATCCTTATTCTCTTTCTTTTCTCTCTCTTTATATCAACGATACACGACACAATTATACTAATCAGTTACATTAATTAGTTACAATTACTCTATAATACACTAAATAGTTATTCATGTGTTTCTAATAAACCAAAGAGTTACACTAAAAAATTATACAAAATTACAATATCAACCCAATTTGTCATTTTGTTATTTACATAAATTAAAGAGTTATATCATTTAGTATCACGATATGGTTATACCAATTATATGCACAAAATTGGGTTTATCATTAAATAAAAGACTTTACCATTATATATATATATATGATTGGTGTAACGATGTCATGATACTAAATAGTGCAACTATATAATTTATGTAAACAATTGAATGACAAATTAGGTTGGTGTTATAAATTTGTGTAATTGTTTGTTGTAACTGTTTGGTTTATTAAAATGCATGAATAACTATTTGGTGTATTATAAGATAATTGTAACTGATTAATATAATTATGTTGTTGTAATGTTGATATAAATAGAGAGATAGAGAAAAAAATATAGGGGGGAGAGATGAAAAAATAAATCTAATATTTATATATTTGAAAAGAAAATAAATTATCAATGATAGATATAAAGAGAAAATAGCGGAGAGATGGGAAAAGTAATGGGGAAAGAGAAAGAAATGGAAAGAAAATATGGAAGAGATAGTGAGACAGTCTAATGAAATCTTTACATATTTGATTAGATATGTAATTGTCAATCAATAATACATAATTTAAGAGAGGGTATTTAAGGAAAACGATTTTGATTTCATTTGAATTTTATACATAAACACAATATGTTTTATTAAAATTGAATTTAATATACATTTTTCCTCAAATAAGTCTAAAAAATTGTACCTACAACCAAAAACCCTAAATTGTAACTTAATCTCTAGCTCACGTGACGTGCACGTGATGTTTTCTGTCAAAGTTAACAGCGAATTTTGATAGAATTATATAGTTCTATCAGAATTTTGATAGAATTGTCAAAAAAACGCTTTCCATCAAATTGTATAGTTCAAGAGCCAAATTGACATCAAACATAGTTTAAAAGTTTGACTGCACTCCTCTTAAGTTTTTTTTTTTTGCACTTAAATCATCAAAATGTTTTCGTTTCTCTATATAGCGAAACAAATAATTAACGTTTCTGTGTTTCGATGTGTTTTATTGTGTTTCGATCAGAATGTTTAGAAAATAAAATTTTGAAATTTTTCTATTTGTTATTCTATTTTCAAACTGATGATAACTATATACGAAAATAAGGCCCAATTTTGTTTGAATCTCAAAAATTATTTTTCTATTTTCAAAAATAAATTCTGGAAAAGAAGTTGTTTCCAAAATTTAAAAAACACTAGGACCACACACTTCCACTACCACATTCACTACCATCATGTTTATGTTTTAATTATTTTTTGAGTTGTTGTTCAAACAAATTTTATTATTTTTTATTCCGTAAAACTGTTTTTGAAATCATATAATCAAACAAACTATGAGACACAAAAACATCAAAACAAAATTTTCTAAAACTCTTCCCAAAAATAATTTTGAAATATTATTTTTGAGACACAAACTAAATAGGGCTTTAAGTTTCTGCCACTAATTTTATTAATTAGAGATTTCCAACTTTAACGAGCCTCACCTTTGTACTCTCATGTCACAATTAGATAGATAATATTTTTTTATAAAAAAATTTATGCTTTTTATCCTTTTTGACATATTGACACTTCAAAATTTTCATATCCATCATTTTTTCAGTCACTAATTCAATCAACCAGATATTCCTGACTTTAATTTCGTATTTAAATAGCATATATTATATGGTCCAATTCTAAAGCAAAGTAATTTTCATTAAATTTTGTATTATACGTCATATGGGATGTTTTAATAGAATGATGCGTGTCTAACAATACGGGTATTTAAATTTTTTTGGAAAAAAGAATTGTTAGTTCTAAACTATCTCCTCCCATTTTCCATGATCAATGTTGCTTTTCTTTGTCATCCCTAATAAAGGCACTTTAGGTTGCACTATTCCTATTCAAAAGCCAGTACCATTATTCTCTAAAAGTTTGTGAATGCACGACTAAAACGTGTTCTATACATAGAAATAAAAAGTTGCATATGTAGACTTGGGTTGGCATTGTATCTATGTGGATGTGTTTGTTGTTTGGAATAGATTTTAAGTTTTGGGGGAAGCCAAACTTTAGAATCAGAAGTCACAATCGATCCAGCGGACCACTAACCTTTGGTCGTGCCCAATATTCTCTCTCTTAAGTTGTAGGTGTTGTGGAAGTTGGTATCGACTCAGACCGGATCGATATCTAATAAGCACGAATATGAATATAAGTGTTGCATTCAATACAATATGAACACAAAGATTTGATAAAATTCAAAACTTTAAGACACGAGTATAGTAATGATACGACTATTAAAATAGTATAATATATTTTTTAAATAATAATAAAGTTTTAATATATTAAAAATAAAGCATATATCATAACAAGGCCTAACAAATT